CGGTCCCATTGGGGGCTTCGGTGGAGCTCCCCATGGGGCCGCGAAGCGTTGTCAAGGGCGGTGGGGCTCCCTATGGGGCCACGAAGCGTTGTACTGGGCCGGTGAAAATGCCAAATGGGTGTGGGGGACGCATGCGGGCGGTCCCACTGGAGGCTTCGGCGGAGCTCCCTGTGGGGGACGCATGCAGGCGGTCCCAGTGGGTGCTTCGGTGGAGCTCCATGTGGGGCCACGAAGCGCTGTACTGGGCGGGCAAAAATGCCAAATTGGGCTTTGGGGACGCATGCGGGCGGTCCCACTGGGGGCTTCGATGGAGCTCCTTATGAGGCCACGGAGCGCTGTACAGGGTGGGTGACAATGCCAAATCGGGTGTGGGGGACGCATGCGGACGGTCCCACTGGGGGCTTCGGTGGGGGTTCCTATGGGGCCACGAAACGCTGTACTGGGTGACGGACAATGCCAAGGTGGGCGTGGGCGACGCATGCGGGCGGTCCCACTGGGGCTTCGGTTGGGGCTCCCTATTGGGCCTCGAAGCGCTGTAGTGGGTGGGTGAAAATGCCAAATTGGGAGTGGGGGACGCATGTGGGCGGTACCACTGGGGGCTTCGGTGGAGCTCCCTATGGGGTCACGAAGCGCTGTAGTGGGTGGGTGAAAATGCCAAATTGGGCTTGGGGGACGCATGCGGGCGGTCCCACTGGGGGCTTCGGTGGAGCTCCCTATGGGGTCACGAAGCGCTGTAGTGGGTGGGTGAACATGCCAAATTGGGCGTGGGGGGCGCATGCGGGCGGTCCCACTGGGGCCTTCGGTGGAGCTCCATGTGGGGCCACGAAACGTGTGAGGGGGTGTGCCAAATTGGGTGTGGGGGACGCATGCGGGCGGTGGCACTGGGGCCTTCTGTGGAGCTCCATATGGGGCCACGAAACGTGTGAGGGGGTGTGCCAAAGTGGGTGTGGGGGACGCATGCGGGCGGTGGCACTGGGGCCTTCGGTGGAGCTCCCTATGGAGCCACGAAGCGTGTGAGGGGTGTGTGCCAAATTGGGTATGGGGGACGCATGCGGGCGGTGGCACTGGGGCCTTCGGTGGAGCTCCCTATGGAGGCACGAAGCGTGTGAGGGGTGTGTGCCAAATTTGGTATGGGGGACGCATGCGGGCGGTGGCACTGGGGCCTTCTGTGGAGCTCCCTATAGGGCCACGAAACGTGCGAGGGGTGTGCCAAAGTGGGTGTGGGGGACGCATGCGGGTGGTGGAGAGGAGGAGGGGGAGGAGGAGGAGAAGACGAACGCGGGGACCGTTTGTTCAAAACGAGGACCCAACACCACAGGATGGTTGGAAACAAATCTAGTTAGGGGACGATGTTTGTTTAAGCTATGTTTGACTAGTTTTGAATAGGTCTTGAATGTTTTTTATTTGTCGTCCAAAATCCGCCTGCAGGAGGACATGCCCGACGCAAAGCACGGCCCACGAGAGCCCCGAGAGGGAGCCCACGGACGCCGACCCACCCCCCCCGAGGGGCGTCCAGGAGGCCCGTTTGGCGCCTTCCAGGCGTCGACACATCCGGAGACGGCCCCGTATTCTGGGCTCAGGCCCCCGGAGACCAAGACACAGGTAAACCAGGACACGGACGACCAAGGAAACGACATCCTTTCCTGCCTAGTCACGTTTTTCAGCACCGCGTGCATGTTTTGTGTGTTGCGCTGCAGGATTCGGGTTTATGTCCGCGTTTAGGGGGGCTTTTGCAGGCTGTGCGGGCTTGTGTCTGGGTTTATTCTGGAAATGCAGCAGTGCAGTATTTTGTTCGTGCCGCCGTTTGGAAAAATTGGTTTCGAGGAATGTTGGGTGTCCGGGTCTAGCGTGTCCGGGTCTATGGGGCTTGATAGGCCTCCTAGATGGGGTCCGGGTAGATGGGGTCGGATGATCGCGCCGCTTCGCCGATGCATCGGCGACGCATCAGCGATGCGGCTCGATGTGGGGCCCAATTTTCTCCACGCCAACGTCGCCGATGCATCGCCAACGTCGCCAGTGCATGGCCGATGCATCGCCGATGCATCCGCGATGCGTCGCCGATGTATCGGCGATTCGGCGAGATCCTCCGACCCCATCTACTCGGACCCCATCTAGGAGGCCTGCAACATCGCCTCAAGATCCTGCGGGTTTCCGAAGCGCTCGGAGGCTGCCCAAGACGGCCCCAGGATGGCTCCAGACCAGCCACGCGCAGAAAGGGGGCAGGGGGAGGGAGGAGGGCTTCTGAGAAGCACCCCTGCTTCTCAGAGGGCGCGGGCCTTTATCTGTAGCTGTAGGGCCAGCGCCTTGAAGGCGCAGCCTCCTGAGAAGCCTTCCCCCCTCCCTCTGGCCCCTTGTGCGCGCCGCCAACCAGGAGCCCCCGCGACGCTCCGGCAGGGCCGCGAGCGAACCCCCCCAAGAGGGCGCCGAGAAACACAAGCCAGACAGCTTACAAGACCGCCCCAAGACGGCCCAGGAGGCGACGGCCCAAGAAGGCCCCAAGATGGCCCAGGACTCAGGACCATCTTGGGGCCCTCCTACTCCTCCTCCTCCTCCTCCCTCCTCCTCCCTCCTCCTCCTCCTCCTCCTCCTCCTCCTCCTCCTCCTCCTCCTCCTCCTCCTCCTCCTCCTCCTCCTCCTCCTCCTCCTCCTCCTCCTCCTCCTCCTCCCCGAAGCGGGCTCAGGACGCCTCCAAGAGAGCCCCATGAGGGTCCCCACAGACGCCGACACTGCCGGCCAACCTACAGAACACCGTCAAGAGGCCCCCAGAAGACGTCCGCACCATGGCCCGATAAGCTTTCAAGAGGTCCCCAGAGGTCCCGAGGAGCTTCCAAGAGGCCCCCGAGAGGCCTCCCACGAACCCCCGATAAAACTGTGAAGAGGCCTCGTCCGTACGGACGGACAGAGGTATAAGCTCGAGGTCGGTTCGGGGAGGGTTCCCTAGTGTTCTTCGTGATTGTTGGGTGTTCTTGTGAATGCTGGGGGAGGGTACCCTCGGATGTTCTGTATGTTTTGGCCGGCGGAGGGTCTCATGTTCTTGAATGATGGTTTTCTGTCTTAGGTCCGGCTGTAGCCGTTCTGGCTCAAGCCGTTTCGATTCCATCTCTCGGATTGCCAAGCCCGCTGCGGTCCTGGGGTTGGGGCCGCGAACATCGAGCGGCCGCGAGCCACGGCAGACGACGACGAGCCCACGTTCGACACGGTTGAGTCGGGGTCCTCGCACACGTACCCGCAGCAGTGCGGAGAGCTTCGCAGGGGCTCGATGGGGATGATCAAGGGCAAAGCCTGCAAGGTGGCAGAGATCTCCACGTCGAAGACGGGCAAGCACGGGCACGCGAAGGCCCACATCGTGGCGCTGGACAGCTTCACGGGGAAGAAGTGCGAGGACTTGTGCCCCACGTCGCACAACATGGAGATTCCTTTCACGAAGCGCACGGAGTACCAGCTGCTTTCAGCCGACGAATCTACAGGCGAAGTCAGTCTGCTTCTGGAGTCTGGCGAGACGAAGGACGACCTGAACCTACCCACCTTCGTGAAGACGGGCGAGCCAACCGATGAAGACAAGAAGGTGGTCGAGGACATCTTGAAGATGCAGGAGCCGTTCTGGCTCAAGCCGTTTCGATTCCATCTCTCAGATTGCCAAGCCCGCTGCCGCGGTCCTGGGGCCGGGGCTGCGGCCGTCGAGCGGCCGATCAGCTTGCAAGAGGCCGGGGCCCCACAGTGGCCCACGAGGCGTGGCCCTGGTGCGTGCCGCCGAGGAGGCCTCCCCCAGGCGTGCGGAGAGGCTCCCGTGAGCGCCGGTGCGAGGCTCGGCGGGCCGGCCCCGCACACGCTGCTTTCCCAGGGGAGCTCCCAGGAGGCCCCAAGAGTGCCCCCAGAGGCTCCCAGGATGCCCCCTCCTCCTCCTCCTCCGCCTCCTCCTCCTCCTCCTCCTCCTCCTCCTCCTCCTCCTCCTCCTCCTCCTCCTCCTACCCCTCCTCCTCCTCCTCCTCTCCTCCGCCGCGCTCCTCCTCCTCCCTCCTCCTCCCTCCTCCTCCTCCTCCTGCTCCTCCTTCTCCTCCTACCCCTACTCTCTTCTTCCTCCTCCTCCTCCTCCTCCTCCTCCTCCTCCTCCTCCTCCTCCTCCTCCTAGGGTGGACAGGACCCCCACCCTGACACATCGATCAGTGACTTTGGAGGTACACCAACTCTGCAGTCGGCCCCCCTGCTCGAGAGATCAGGGGAACGAAGAACGATACACACAAAACACTCCGAGGCCCGCGCGGAGCATGTGGGCGTTCTCTTACCCAGCGTTTCGACATTCAGCTAAGAGGGGGGAGGGTCGGGGGCGGAAAAGAGGGGGGTGATGACTAGGGGGGGGGGGATATCATGGCGGGGGTCATGATAGTTCCCCAGATTTTCATGGCGCCTCTTCTTATTTCATTACGTCCCTGGCCCCCCCGCTGGGCCGCGCACATGCCGCCGGTCATGATTTGCACCCCCCCCTCTTGGACACCCCCCTCTTGGCCGCTCCCGAGAGGGGGGTGGGGTCCGGCTCTGGACCTCTGCTTAGTGCGGCAGTGCGTCCCATGAGGGAAGACTCCACCTGCTCGAAACGGGCGCCCAAAGCAGCCAAGATCTACTCCATGGGGGGGGGGGGGGGGGCGAGAGCCCGCGCCGACTTGGGGCCATCTCTAGGGGAACGAAGAATGACATAAGCAGAAACCTCGGAGGTCCGCGCGGGTTTCTAGGATCGGCGCTGGACCCCCCCTCTGCGCTCCGCGTCGCATGCCCTCCTGGTGATCGTCGCAGGGCATCCCCCCCTGCGCTCCGCGTCGCAGGGCGGCCCGCCTCTGGTGATCGTCGCAGGGCTGGCGAAGTCCGCTTGTCAGGCGATTCGACCAGCCGGAGGAGTGCGCGACGTCAGCGGACCCCTGGGTCCAGGCTCAGGTCGGACATGTCCCCTTGCAGGCGGACTTTGGACCAAACATCGAAAGTACCAACATGTTTCGAGCACAGTGAAAATAGAATCGGAACATCGTCTCCAGACTATGTGTCATAACCATGTTTGGATATTCCTCCGTTAGAGGGACACGCCCGACGTAATTCCAGGCTCGCGAAGTCCGCCTGCCAGGCGACTCGACCAGCCGGAGGAGTGCAGCGGTCCTCGAGGAGGCCGCGCGCCCCGCGCCGCAGGCCCTCCGGGGCCACCCGCCTCTGGTGATCGTCGCAGGGCTCGTTGCGGTTCCTCCGATTCGGTTTCGATTTCGATTCGATTCGGCTCGATTCGATTTCGATGGATTCCGATTCCGATTCGATTCTCGGGGGAGAAAAAGATACGGATACGTGTTGTCCCCTTTCGTTTTCGGCCTTTCCTGGTCCTCCTGGGGAATCCTCGTTGTCACCGCTGGATTCGCCTCGAAATTCTGGTCAGAACGCACCCCAAGAGAGGTCCGGGGACAACACGTATCCGTATCTTTCCGCCCCCAAAGATTCGGCTTCGGATGCCCATGCGGGTTCCAGTTTCTCACTGAGGCCTTACTGCTCTGCCGATCTCTGCCGATTCGACTCTTCCCGACCTGGCTGTCGATTTCCGCCGATCCGATTAATTTCGATCGTCGGTTCGACTTATTGATTCGATTCTGGGCTCTCGATCGTCGATTCGACTGATTGATTCGATTCGACTTATTGATTCGGTTCGACTCATTAATTTCGATCGTCGATTCGACTTATTGATTCGACTCTGGGCTCTCCTGTCGTCGCCGCTGGCATCGGTGGCGCCGCGCCGCCCGCGCTCAGGCATTGGCTGGGCCCCCGTCAACAGACCAGCCCAGCTGGTCGCGCCCCCTGCATCCTTTCGTTCGCCACGGTTGTCCAAGATCTCCAGGTTTTTTTCGTGGACTTCGGTGGATCCCCGCGCACTCTCCCGAGATGCCCCCCGCGAGACTCCAGGGAGCTTGCAAGAGGCCTCGCACGCAGGAGCCATACGATGTCCCTGGAAAGGCTTCCGGGAACATCGGCTCGGATTTCGGGACATTGTTTGGGCCGTCTCAAGGACATGTGGGGCTGCCTTCGAGGCATCTTGGACCAGTTTGGAGGCATCTTGAGGCCATCTTGGATCCGCTCGTTTGTCTTGGAGCTCTCTGGAGACCCCCAGGTGCGCGGCAGAGCACATCCAGAAGGGGTCGGTGTTCGAGGGATGCGTGTGACGAGGGGGGGGTCGGCCTTAGAGAACAGTACAGAGTCCTTACCAGGCAACAGGGGGGCATTCTTACACGCCCACACGTGCCGCTGGCAAGGTGGCGGTCGATGCGTTGACCACCCTCCTTGTACATCGGTCACTGGAGGGAGGCTTCTCGGTAGCTTCCAAGTCCGTACGGCTTCGGGCGCTCATCTATCTGAAGTGTCCAGCGGTTCCCCCTCCTGCCTCCTCAGGGGGCGTGCGGTAACCCAGCACATTTCCACCGCCTTCCTCCTCCTCCTCCTCCTCCTCCTCCTCTCCTCCTCCTCCTCCTCCTCCTCCTCCTCCTCCCTCCCACTCCTCCTCCCTCCTCCTCCTCCTCCTCCTCCTCCTCCTCCTCCTCCTCCTCCTCCTCCTCCTCCTCCTCCTCCTCCTCCTCCCCCCATCTCCTCGGCCGGTGGGCTGCCCCCCCTCCTGCTCAGCACGTCGCGCCCCGCGAGGCCGAGCTCGAGGAGCAGCGGATGATCGCGGACCAGTACCGCGAGCAGGTGGTGATGGGCCTGTTTCCCACCACCACCACCATAAATGGAGGGGGAGGGGGTCCTCCTTCTCCTCCTTCTCCTCCTGCTCCCCCCTCCTCCTCCTCCTCCTCCTCCTCCTCCTCCTCCTCCTCCTCCTCCTCCTCCTCCTCCTCTTCGTCCTCTTCTCTGTCCTCCTCCTCCTCGTCCTCCGCCTCCTTCCCCCCTCCAACCTATGGTGGTGGTGGTGGAAAGCGGTCCCACCAGGTGGAGGTGCTGGAGGCCGCGCTCCCCTCCTGCCGCCCCGGCGCTGCGCACGCGTCGCGCGTCCTCGGGTCAAGTCGGGCCTGTCCCTCTGCAGGAGGACTGTTCAACGGCAGTTTTAAAAAGTAGTCGGGAGGCGATGTGTGGACTATTTTTGGATTTTTTTGTGCTATTTCCTTACCTAGGCTCTGCCTAGAAGGGTTCCTACTTTATATGCTTAAAGGGCCGGGCAGTGTTGCCCGCCCCGGGCGGTTCCCCCGGCATCCGCCCTGCGGTTCCCCCAGTGACGCTCGTTTAGTTTAGCGTTGCTTATCTCATCCTAGCTTAGCTTATTTCATATCAGCTTAGCTTAGCTTCATCTTAGCTCAGGTTCATTCCCTACCTAGGCTCTGCCTACAGGGTTCTTACTTTGTTTGCTTAAAGGGGCGGGCAGTGTAAAACGCCCCGGGCGGTTCCCCCAGTCCCCGCCCCGCGGTTCCCCCATATTATCTCATTTTAGCTTAGCTTAGCTTAGTCTAGCTTCATCTTAGCTTCGCTTAACTGTAGCTTCGCTTAGCTTCGCTGAGCTTAGCTTAGCTTACCTTAAGCTTATATCGTCTTACCTTAGCTTAGCTTGAGCTTAATGTTAGCTTAATTTTAGCTTAGCTTCAGCGAAGCTTTAGCTTAGCTTGAGCTTAGCTTCAGCTTAGCTTCAGATTAGCTTTAGCTTAGCTTGAGCTTAGCTTCATCAGCTTAGCTCTAGCTTAGCTTTAACTTATCGTTAGCTTAGCTTTCGCTTAGCTTTAGCTTAGCTTCAGCTTAGCTTTAGCGTAGCGTTAACTTAGCTTTAGCTCAGCTTTAGCTTATCTTCAGCTTTAGCTTAGTTTTAGCTTAGCTGTAGCTCAGCTGTAGCTTAGCGTTAGCTTAGCTTTAGCTTAAATTTAGCTTAGCGTTAACTTCACTTCCGCTTAGCTTTACCTTAGCGTTAGCTTAGCTTTAGCTTAGCTTTAGCTTAGCTTTAGCTTGCCTGCAGCATACCTGCAGCTTAGCTTTAGTTTAGCTTTGAGCTTAGCTTTAGCTTTAGCTTAGCTTTAGCTCAGCAATAGCTTAACAACAGCTTAGCTTTAGCTTAGTTTTAGCTTAGCTTTAGCTTAGATTTAGCTTAGCTTCAGCTTAGCTTCAGCTGTAGCGTAGCTTTAGCTTAGCTTTACTGTTGCTACGAATGCTGCTTTCCTAGGGGCTCCAACTCCTAGGTAGGGTCGCACATGGATAATTGCATTGACTCTTTTAATGTTGTTGCCCAGAACCTCCCTGTCGGGAGACAGGCTCGACCTACCCCTCGTAGGGTCCAACGTTTTCTCTTGCCGTGCTCTCGTCCAGAGAGGCAGCGACTAGCCCAGGGGCGAGGCCGTCGGAGCCGGGGAGGAGGGGATGAAGGCGGCCAGGGTTAGGTCGGGCCTGTCCCTTTTACACGGAGATGTTGGAGGAAAAATCAAAAATAGGCAACACATGCCCCCACAAATTTAAACCTGCTATTACACAGATTGTCCCCAGAACTTGTTTCGAGCCAAACGAAAATCTATGTTTGAATATTCCTCCTGTAGAGGGACAGGCCCGACTTAAGGCCACGCAAGAGGAGCAGGCGGAGTAAACTCTGGAGACTCTGCCTGCCCGCGAAGCGATTTGAGTGTTAATCCACCAGCAGCTACTGCAGGTGCATCGTGCCGATCTGGGAACGCACCTTGGGCCAGAGTCCCACCCGAACATGTCTTAATGTACTGAGGACCTGCAGCGTCGAGGGACCTCCACAACTGTTAGTTAGCTTCCCAACGCGTTGGGACGCGTATGCCCCACTTTGGGAACAAAACCGAATCCCAAGCCCAGCGTGGAACTTCGGACGTTTGGTTCAATGTGTCCGCCCCCCCGCTACGTGCACCTGCTTACCTAGGGTCTCCGATAAGTGCCGTCTACACGAATGATGTTTTAGCATTCGGTTCGGCACCATGATGCTCGATTTGCGAAAGTGGCTGAGCTACAACAGATCCGACACTTGCGCTGGATTTGTCCAAGTCATGGGCGGACGCGAAATACCCACAAATTGCCCGGCAAGGAATCCAACAGGCTTGATTCTGATGCGTCCACGCCGCACTGTGGCCCCCCGATCAATCGGGACGAGGCCGTGGGGAGCGAGGAGGATGAGGACCCGTCAGGGCTCGAGGCGGCGCGGCAGCCATTTTGCCACAATTGCCCACCGTCCCGACCTGAGCCGAAACAGGGCCGTGGGCAGGTTATCGTACCTTCTTTGTTGCCGTCAGAGTCTGAGCACGGGAGGTCAAAACGCAAACACATGCCAGAGCACGAGCAGGGGCAGCGGCCCTCAAGCGAAGGCTCATTTGGAGGCTCTTCACGTCAGCTTTTTGGCCGGAGTCAGTCGGCATCCTCAGACGCCGACTCCATGCCGTGGGAATGCGCTGGGTGCCAGGCATCTGCGAACATGCGTCATCCGCGGTGGTGTAGATGTGGGCAGCATTGAGAGGCCGTGACACCCAAACCCCAGCAGCAGCAACCCGAAGCTAAGAACAACAACGCCGAAGATAAAGGGGACGCCGATCGGACCCCAGATCCCATGGCTACAGCAGTCGCTTGATATCATCGAAGGGGCTCGGTGGGCCCATCGGCACAGCGCACCGTGACAATGGCTCCACAGGCGATGCAGGCAGTCATGGGGCGCATGAGAGAGTAGCGGATCCAGAGAAATCTTGGAGTCAGTGACGCCACGAGTGCGCGCGTCTTGCTCGAGCCCAAAACCGATCTGGAGCAGCCCCTTGTGCATGCGGACAAGGAGGAACAGGCATTGGCACGCTTGGACATCCAGAGGGCGTTGATAGAGGAGAATATTAAGTCGGCATCACACGCGAAGGACAATTCCGAGCACGAGGCGAAGTCGACATCAATAACTCCCAGCAGCGGCCGGCACATGATGTCACGTCTACAAACGCGCTTACGCAGCACAGCCGGTGGCAAAGGTGCAGCGACGGCGGCGCTGAGCGGCGCGCAATCGGGAAGTGATCTACCAGTGCGC